AACTGTCTTTGCTGCTGTACTCACCCCTCCATCTCATCTGTTCATTTCCCTCTATCCTTCTCCCTCATCTTTTGTGCTTAAAACGATCCAAGAGTAGTAGACTGACCTGTGTAGGCATCTGGAATATTTATTACAGAAGATCATATTCTAAGGGACCACCAGTGGCTTTCTGTATAAAGTGCAGTTAACAAACAATATGTAGATAATACTGCCTAAATTAAGTTTTGTTTTCCTAGACCCTTCTGAAATTGGCAGATTTTAAACTGTGCTGATTTTTCCTACTTCCATATAAGTCAAGATTTGTCATAGTAACTAAGATACATTCGTATATTCAAATAGTTTTCAGAAGAACTTGAGAGAGATCTCCAGCAAACATTCCTAGTTAGGATGAGGGAGATTTACTGTAACAATTTTTGTTAACCATTTTTGGAGATGAACATTTTGTGCTTTCAAAATCAAACTTCTGTTGTTCACAGCTAAAGAACTGATGTAACCTAACACTCATCTATGGTTGTTGGTTCACTTATTCCACATTCAGAATAGGCAGCCCTGATTGCATAATTTCTACATAGACCATGCAAATACAACATACGTCTTAAGAGAGGACCATCACCATGGGTTTTTGAAGAAGTTCTTAATGACAATGAAGTGAAAATACGGGGTGCTATTCAACTTAAGTTTTACTCAGAGTAGAGTCATTGAAATTAATGAGCATTAATAATTTAGGTCAATTAATTTTAGTGGATCTTTGCCGAGTAAAATTTAGTTGAATACCACCCATGCAATACTACGTGCCTCTAATACTGGTTGTTTCAGAATTTTTAAGGCAGTTTAAATGGCATCCCTTTTAATGGCCTAGTTCACACATAACACTAGACCGTAATTTAGTGTTGTGTAGAAGTCTTGGCCTCATGCATTCCAGCCCTCTCCTATCTTCTCTGCTGATGTAGTCACAAGGAGGAGATTGTAATCATCCACTTCCATTTTTAACTAATTGCCATTTGTCATGTCTTAACGTTCAGCTGTGGCTAATATTAATTACGTGGTTGGTGTTTTTTTAAAAAGGCAAGGATTGAAGTTGGTTTGTTTCAGTAAACCATAGTTAATGCTAATCACAGATTGTTCAGGCATAACAATTGACTATCTAAGTTAATGTTTTATTGATTTTTTTAATGATTTTATTGTCTAAATTATGTCAGTAAAGACTGAATGTATGGCTATTTTCAAAAGTCTTTAAGTAACATTTCAGTTGTAGGACTGTCTTGGCATTTAATTTCTGTTGTGATTTTTTTTAAAAAAAGTTTCTCGGGCAAGCGGTAACTCTGCCCGTGTTGTTTCTCTGCCTCTGCCCACCACATGGCACATGGCTCTTGGAAGGTCGCCCAGGAGGGAATGATACTCTTGGACTGCAAAAGGTGACCCATCCCTGCCCTAAAGCTTTCTTTTGAAGAAAGCCTTATTAGACATTTTTGAACATATCTGAGACAAAATTATTTGCTTTCAGATCGACTTCAGGTGTTGACAGCTGTATGCTGAGGTATCAACTGGGCTGGAATTTCAAACAAACTTTAACAGGATTAAGAAATGCAACATAGAACAGGAATTTTAGCCACCTATTTCAGAATACTCTGTTCTGTAAGCATTACTATTTCTCTGTTGATCTGTAATATTATTGACACCCCTCCATTTTATGTTTGAGAAACTTAACAAATCTTGAATTTCTACTTGGAGAAATAACAGTATAGTAGTAAACTATAATTTTGAAAATTATACAGTGACAACTTTATGCTGAGCCAAGCTGCAAGCTAACTTGATGATTATTGAAATACAGTCTCCATAATGCAAGGCTTGCTTACCTAGTTATTTCTAACTATTAATCTCCTAAGTGTGTGCTAACTGAGCTGTGAATCTGGAAGTCACTGGTTTGAATCTCTCTTTATTAAGTGGCCTTAGGCAAGTCTCTCTTCTTTTTGCTATAGTTTTGGAGTGAAAGCTTAGCCTTAATACATATTTCAGTATAATCCAGTTGAATATCGTACACTACTCAGTATATTTATTGAACGTGGGAAGGATTTAGAAAGAGCAATTATTATAATGTGATTTTGGGATCGGTGGCCTTGATTTTGGGATCAAGGCCATCACAGAGACTGGTGTTGATTTAGCTTGCAGATTAATGTGCTCAATTTGCTAATGAAAAGATTTTTATTGCAGCAACTTGCTCTACTAATTCATCTTGGGTTTTGTCTTTGAAGTCGAATGCCTTTGCTTTCCATCCCCTTTTCTCACCAATTTACTGGACTCCTCCAGAATTCACATGGTTTTCCTGCCATAGTTGCAGCTTCATTCCTGGTTGCAGTTAAAGCCATTTTACATATTAGAACGCATGGAAGATGTGCCCTATGCATGGTCCAAAAAGTAATGTGCAGGGTTTGCAATACTAGATCTGCAGCCAACACTTGAGGCTGGATGGAGTTCCTGATAGCAAATTAGGAACCATGCACAATATACTGAGGAAAGTAACAGATCAGTGTAAATCTTACAGTGGTACCTCGAGTTAAGAACTTAATTTGTTCCGGAGGTCCGTTCTTAACCTGAAACTGTTCTTAAGCTGAGGTACCACTTTAGCTAATGGGGCCTCCCGCTGCTGCTGCGCTGCCGCCGCACGATTTCTGTTCTCATCCTGAAGCAAAGTTCTTAACCCGAGGTACTATTTCTGGGTTAGTGGAGTCTGTAACCTGAAGCATCTGTAACCTGAAGCGTCTGTAACCCGAGGTACCACTGTATATATGAGGATTAACTAAATTTATCCCTTGCCCCTACTGTGCATCGTTGACAGAGGTCAGCCTTCCATCCGTTCCTAACAGGAAATAGTTGTTATCAATGCAGATAGACAGCCCCAAACATCTTTCAGGTGAATAGGTGCATTGGACACATCCTGGCAGAATTGTGTGGGTGGCTTCTTTGTGGGGTGCCTGTGTTTCTGGGTTGCAGCTGCAGTTAATGCTAGTACTGTGCTTCCCTATTGTCAGCAAATCTTTAGAACATACTACTTTTTAAAAGATCTAATAGCGCCATGCTTTTATTTACATCATTATCCCTGTCACCTCAGCCACAGTTAGCTATTATCGTGTGAACTCTTGTAGAAATGTCCTTGGCTGGATGAGACTAATGGCATTATAAATAAGCAGATTCTGGTTGTAGGCTTTTGACCTCAGATCAAGAAATAAACTGCTTGACCTTTAACTTGCTTTTTCTTGTTTCAAGCACAGTTTTTAATAAAATGAGCTCCTTGATGGACTAAACTCCATAAAATAAAACCATATTCTTCTTACAAGCAGCAAAGGAATGAACTAGAATGGAGATTTGGAAAGAAAGAAAAGGCTGCCTGTTACTTGAATCTATTAACAACTCAAAACAATCTGAGGCATGCACTAGTTAAATCTTAGAAAGTGCTACAGGCAACCCACCATTGCAATTGCCATAGAAAATTATTGTTAGTCGTTATGTTGATAGTTCACATTGTTGGAATTACTAGCAGATGGGAAAATAGATGACTCAGAAATACAGTATTAGCTATCCATATTTTTTAAATCAAAGGCCTCTAATAAAGCCTGTAGCATCTGTGAGATTCATTTAAACAGTTGCTAGGAAGAAATTGTGTTTGAAGCAAACAAAACACTGTCTATATAATTTGTTTCTTAGTGAATGTCTGTTTTGTTTAAAAATTGAAACACCAGTTATTTTGGAAATGTTAACTGATGCCTTCCATGTCTTCCATTTAATAACAGTATCTAATCTAAAATCAGAACATCGATTATTTGTGAATGTTGCTGAAATGGACTGGAGCTTCTGTGCATTCCTGCCATTGTTGTTTTAAGCAATAAGTGAGCAACATGTTAAAAACTATTCCTCAGTGACAATTGGTGTATTGATTGCCAATGTGATCCTATGCGCATGGTTACTCAGAGATCAATCCCACTGGATTCACTGAGGCTTACTTCCAAGTAAGTGTGTTTCAAGACTGCAAACAAAGAGGTTCAAACAATTTCTGGGCTCTGCCTCCCAGTATCTTTATGTTGGTGGGACTGAATGAATCAAATCAAAAAGTTGTAGGATTGACGAAAATTAACCAGTATTTGTGTTGCTGGAGATGGCAATTGCTTTGCTTTGATTCATAGCTGTCTAACTCAAAATTGATCTGATTTCTTACTTGGTAACTAGCCACATCTAATCAAACAGTATTTTATATCATAGAGAATGCCTTGCTTCCTTTGAAGTAAAAGTATAACATACCGTATTTTTCGCTCGATAACACGCACCCGACCATAACACGCATGTAGTTTTTAGAGGAGGAAAACAAGAAAAAAAATATTCTAAACGAAACAGTGGATGTATGATTTTTGTGGTTCATGCTGTGGCCACAGACATGTGATCTGATGGTGAGTTTGGGGTAGCCCAAAGCAAAAATCCTGAGGATCCATGTGGATCCATGTTTTAACCATGTTTTTGCACCACTGCAGCCCCAGGTAACAGTGGGTGCGTGATTTTTTTGGTGCAAACTGTAGCCATGGACATGCTATGTGATCTGATGGTGAATTTGGGGTGACCCAGTGCAAAGATCCTGAGGATCCATGTGGATCCATGTTTGTAACCATGTTTTTGCACCACTGCAGCCCCAGGTAACAGTGGGTGCGTGATTTTTTTGGTGCAAACTGTAGCCATGGACATGCTATGTGATCTGATGGTGAATTTGGGGTGACCCAGTGCAAAAATCCTGAGGATCCATGTGGATCTGTGCTTTGTAACCACGTTTTAAGTGGGGAGGGAAGGAAAAGCACTCAAGGGACAAGGAGCACGCATGGAGCAGGCTCTGCTTCTCTCCCTCCCCCCCCCTTAGCGAGCTGAAAAACTTTGCTGGAGGGACAGAGAGCCTGCTTGCTTTAAAGGAGCCTACTGGACAGGAGCCGCTTACACGAGTGTAAGCGGCTCCTGTCCGCTTTGCTCCTTTAAAGCAAGCAGGTTCTGCTTCTCTCCCTCCCCCCCCCCTTAGCGAGCTGAAAATCTTTCCTGCTATTTCCAGCAAAGCGGGAGAAGAGCCGCTGAGTGGGGAGGAGGGAGAGAAGCAGAACCTGCTTGCTTTAAAGGAGCCAACCGGACAGGAGCCGCTTACACTCGTGTAAGCGGCTCCTCTCCCCTCCCGCTTTGCTCCTTTAAAGAAGCAGGCACTCTGTCCCTCTCTCCTCCCCATTCAGCGGCTCTTCTCCCGCTAGAAACCACAGAGGAGGGAAGCATTCGCTCCGTAACACGCACAGACATTTCCCCTTACTTTCTAGGAGGAAAAAAACGCATGTTATGGAGCGAAAACTACGGTACTCAGATTTTAATAAGAAATTTCTCAAAAGTTTTGTAATAAAGATGCAGTGCAAAAGACCTCAATACTTGTTTGCATGCTGGGAAGGGTGAATACCCAACCTTCTGCCTAACTGACCAGAATGAAATGTCACCCTAGAGTTAAAGAACTTTCTTTAACAAGGCATTCACAAGTGGGTTCAAAATATATAGATAAAACTAGTAGCACTATGGACATTTTATTTCCTGATCTGATCCAAGCTGATCCAAAAATAGGAGTTGCACCAATTTTTCTTCAGTACATTTTACTAATCTCTGGAAGAGTGAACTGCCTCTCTAACTCAGCATTTATTTATTTCCCCCTCCCCCCCTTTCTTTCCCTGGAAATTGGCTGTAACATGGATGAATAGAGGCAAATAGTATACAATTCCAATCAGAGTCTACTTAATTTATCACTGACTAGTTATTACAGCCCCCCCCTTTTTTCTATGAGACCATGCTAACCACCTTGTATATAAAACTTTAAAACCCAATCCTAGCTGAATTCTGGATGACTTTAGCTTTGTTTGGTTAAAGCTATGATGGTAAGTAAAAAACTATTCTGATACGCTGAGATGGTATACAACTGTTACATTTTCTAACTACCTAGACAAATGTCCTAAACTTGAATAATTTGTTCAAGTTTTTGAATGTTTTTCAGACATGGAAGCTTTGGCAACCATTATGTGCTGAACAAGGGAACTGTGGGATCCAGTCCCCATTCAGCCATGAAACTCACTTAGTGTCTTGGCCTTAACATAACTTTCAGGATAGTTTTGAGGATGAGGTAAAGGTAAAGGGACCCCTGACTGTTAGGTCCAGTCGTGACCGACTCTGGGGTTGCAGCGCTCATCTTGCTTTATTGGCCAAGGGAGCCAGCGTACAGCTTCCGGGTCATGTGGCTAGCATGACTAAGCCGCTTCTGGCGAACCAGAGCAGCGCACGGAAACGCCGTTTACCTTCCCGCCGGAGCGGTACCTATTTATCTACTTGCACTTTGACGTGCTTTCGAACTGCTAGGTTGGCAGGAGCAGGGGCTGAGCAACGGGAGCTCACCCCGTTGCGGGGATTCGAACCGCCGTCCTTCTGATCGGCAAGCCCTAGGCTCTGTGGTTTAGACCATAGCGCTACCCGCTGTGGATGAAATGAAGGCCTAATGGGATGTTGTGCTAGCCATGACTACTACCAAATCCCACATCTACCTAGTAATGTCTATCAATATAAAATCATGACAAAAACATAATTATGTTCCAGCATTTCCCTATCATCTTCCCAGTTCATTGGCTGTTGCTTGCAGATGGCAGATAAATTAAGAATGTGTTGATGTAACTTCACGTGCTTTCTCTGATAGAGGCTACCAGGGAGATGCTAGTTGGTATCACCTTCCTAATAGTGTTTTGCAGAAGAAACAAGTTGGTTCTTGAAGGCAGGGCAAATTGGATCATTTAGATAATGAAGAGATTTCTGCTTATAAGCAAAGGTTATTACTGTTAAGTATATTGTAATTTTAATATCATTCAACTCTTCCATTGGGGTTCCAGGCATGGAAATTTCTTTAAATAGTTTGCATATAAGATGCAATATTTAATTCATAACTTGGTTTGTTTCATGTAAGTAATTAATTGACTACCGTCTCATTGTGCTGGAAGGGGCAACATATAGAAGGCAGGATTGTTGCAAGATGCAAAATAGATGGTGAAAATGGGGATCACAGTGCTATTCTTAAATACAATATTCAGCCAACCTCTCAACTGTGGATAATTCTGTTCATTTTAAATTTTAGAATCCTGTGTTCGTTATCACAAGAAAAAAATGCATTACCGGGGATGGGTAAATTTTTCATGAGCAGTGTCATGGGAAATTTTCAAACCATGTCAGGATGAGTTGGGGTATATTGCTCTACTTGGAATCTAACATTTTTTAAATGTCATTTTTAACAATCTGCTCTTGGCTATGGAGCTCCATGTTTAATTTCATAAATCCATTGCTGCTGTTAACAAAACAGTCTATCTGTGTGCATCACATTGTGCCACTTTTCACTCAAATGTTGGCTTCCCTTGTGTTTTCGTTCTGCCCACCTCCCTGGCACTTGAATACTACAAGCGTTGCTTTGGAGGGTTTTTTGAAAACACATATTGCTGATTCCAAATAGGAAAATGACTCATTTCCACAATTCTGTCTCTTCCCAGCTAGCATTTACTTTCAAAACGTGCGGCATTAATATTATGAACTACACTAGTTAGCTTCCAGCAACAAATGACAAATGAATGTTTATGTAATTTCCCCTTTCTCTACCCTTTAATGCAGAAGAAGGAGAAACAGTAGTGGCCCTTCTTAAGTGCTCCTATATATATATATATATATATATATATATATATATAGATATATATAGATATAGATATAGATATATATAGATATAGTATATATAGTATATATACTTTAAAGCAAAGGAAAGCATCTGCTTTATAAAAGCAGCAGGAGAGAGACCAGAAACGGCCATCAGCTATATCAAGGGAAGTTACCTATTTAGGCCACAGACCATTTTAACCAGAAAATAGTAATGTCTGTTCTTCTGCAGATTTTGAAAAAGGGGAGCAAATAAGCATGTAATATAATGATCTTCTAGGGACTGCCATTGAAGGCAAAATGAGATGAACCTTAACTAGGTGGACTTGGTCGCTGTAACCCAAAGAACATGCACGTGGGGGAAGACCGCTGCCTAAATTTAGTGTGCTGTCTGCAGATAAGACCAAAAAAAAGTTCTGATGGGAGGTACACAAAAGCCTTGCAGGCCTATGTGCAAGATTTACATGTCTTCTTACAGAATAGTACTGAACATTGCTCTGTGCTGTGCTTGCTGTTTTCTTCACATTGGCCAGTAGTTTACATTGCCCTACCACTGGATTATTGGATTGTGGGCTTTCAGTCCTGAAAAATATTGAAAGGGAAAATGGTTTCATAGCTGGGATAGGTAGCACCAAGTGCTGTTGTCTGATTTAGGAAAGATACATGGGTCTGTGTGAGTTGTTGTGGTTAGTCAGGTTTTTAAAAAAGCTATAAAAATGTCATTTAAAGAACTTTTCTATTTCCCGCGGCCTTCACAGGAAGAGAATGCTTCTACACTCTCTTCTTGTAGCAGAAGTTGATAGCCCTAGGAGATTCTCAACAGCAATTTCATTGTTTCAATTGATATTTTACAAAAACAAAGGACTTTTTGGCATTCCAGAATTGTTTTCTAGTGTAACAACATAATTAAAGTATGATATGTGTTTTCAATTTTGTAGACAAAGGATATTTTTGGACTACAGAGTAGCTTCACCAGGAAATTGTTTTTATCTGATGAAGCAATGGCGTATTCGATGCCAGAGAGTTTTGTTCAGCAGGAAACAGAGTTTCTGTTTAATCCTTCCTAAGTAATCATGACGAAAATAATCAAATCAATAGCTTTAGCCTACCCTTCCCAAGCTGAACCAAGGGTTTTATGGGTTTTTATTTGTAGCTTTTACTTAATTAATAGCAAACGGAAAGTGGAAGCGAATGAGCTATGAGCTTGAATGTTTTAATAAATGTTTGTACATTTTCTGCATGAGAGCCTTTAGTAAAGTCGATTTGTTCGTGCATTCTGCTCAATCCTTTATTCATGGAAGGTTGTCGTTTCTGAGAGTGCCTGTTAACAATAACATTGTTTCAGGTGTATGCACACATGTATGCACACACACACACACACACACACACGTGCACATCAAGCCAAAAAACATTCTGTTGAGGCAAAGCACATATTTTGACTGGCCCTTTGAAATGAGGTATGCACAAATCAAAGCATGAACATTAGCTATTTTTTATTTCTATCTACCCAATGTTGTGGGTGGGTGGTTCTCAAGTCCAGGAATTGGGAAGTTGGCCTATCCTGGGTGGTGTTTTACTTCCCCTGAAGGAACAGGTTATACATCGCTTGGGGGTTCTTAAAAGGAAACACAACCATCCTTGGTGGTGAGGAATGCCTATGCTCAGTTCCTGCAATGCCCTCTATGTTGGGCAACCCTTGAAGAATATCTAGAAGTTGCAGCTTATGCCGAATGCCGCTTATTGACTATTAAGTAAAGCAGCTAAATGGGGTCATATAACACTGATCCTTAAAACACTGCACTGGCTCCCAGTCTGTGATCGGTGTCCATGGTGTAGGTATTAGTACACAAAGCCCTTCATGGCTCAGGATCCAAGAACTTGAACGATCACCTTCCCAGCCTGTGCTTTGCGATTGACTGGGTAGGTCCCACATGTGCTCCTACCAACAGGAGTGGCCCATGATGTGGTGACTAAAGACAGGACCTTCTCAGAGGTCAAAAACAGCACTGCAATCCCTGGGGAAGGGTGATCCTTCTACATGCTGCTAAGTTTCGGTTGTCAACTGAAAACATTTTTGTTCACCCTGACTTTGGGGACACGAGTTTTGCCCCGGGTCTTAACTAGCATTATTGTTGAACCTCTGTATAATGTTATTATTTTAGCTGTTCTGTTTTAAAATATTTTAATCATTGTGTACTACAGTTGTTCTTGTCATATTGTTACCCCTCCTCTCTTGACATGTCCCTGACATGGCTCGTTTTGGCCCTTTTCATTGTAGTAGGCATAGACTGGTGAATCTCTGGAAATGCTCCAGGAGTGCCTGCCAGTGGCAAATTTCCGAGATCTACTGGGTAGGGTACTTGTACCCAATCCTAAAGCACTCTTGTGTACATTGCTGTACTACAGGGCCACACG